GTATAACAGAACCTGATAAATTTGTGATTTTCAAAGTTCGTCTCGATTCCCTCAGTTCCTTTGAATTCAACCTTTTCCGTAGTCGCTTTCCAGGAAAGCTTCAATAAGTTTACAAATTCTCTAATCCTGAAGAATGAAGGACCCTAAATCCAGGTTTCTAAATTTAATTCCATCTGCCGACCTCATGATATTCAGTCGTTAAGATAACCATTAGACTCGACGTTTCCTCACCGACTCACAGACGTTAACTGATGTATAACGGCTAGACAATTAGCCACAAGGGTGTAATGTCTGCTCTCTGCATTACTCACATGGTACAAAACAATCATAGCATCCGTCCAGAAGTAGATCCTTTCAAACGTCTGCGAAGGATTTCTATCAGAAAATCCACTCATTTGGCACTCAATACTTCAATTTGTAATTCTAATCTAGGCGCAGTTAATAATTTGTTAGGTGCAACCCTAGCCTTTTTATGGAGCGAAACGCTGTACCAGGGTTTGTGATTTAAAATGTTCTGTGAGTAGGCTAGTGTGAAGTAAAATGTTTCGGAGGTATCACAAAACAAATGTAACTCGATCGTTTCGAAGTTCTTTCTGTGCTCATTCCTAATACCTCGGGGGAATGATGACTGTCTCGAGCTTCGACACAAATCTAACACGATCCGGTTAAATAGAAACTAAAAAACACCGTGTATGATGTCCCATGTGATCGATGGGTAGACCGTTAATTCAGAGGCATATCAACCATCAATCCATACGATAGGATTGTGAATCATCTTCCCTTACCAGTTTTGACGTAGTTCCCCACTTTTCAAACTTGAATCCTCATCGGGTCATCAATTCGTTCAATTATACAACAAATGTTTTCTCACCTCTATTAAGAAGTGGTACAAGGTAGTCGTCCTTGTAAAGTTTGCTCAGTGCTGTGTCACTCCAAAACTAGTCAGTAAAGACAATTAATTATTCTCCATAACTACAGAGTCAGTAATCAGCCACTCTGGTCCCAAATACATATGGAGGTTAATCTGATGAGTAAAAGCAAATTATTTCTCTCTGCTCCCATATTGTTACTCGTTAAATGATTATTTCAATAAATATCGTTATGCTCGAGAGAGTTCTGTGTGTCGGTTACAGTCCATTGCTCCTGTTTATTTGCGTCACACTAAATTTTCTGAAGTTTCTCGACTGCTAAGCTCAAATGTCAGTGATTTGTTTACCTATCAGGGTTGGTATTCAACAAGTCAGCACTGGATAGATCCACAACGACAATACATCGTAATGGATGATCAAGTGGGTTATAGTGGCTGTTTTCCGTGTATGTGTAGAACTATGGTCTACTATAATATTAGTGCTGCTCTAATAATAGACCTAATTCTAAATTTGTAGATTTGTCATGATATAACTGCCTAATCTATAAGATCTTACGTGGAAGTCACACCATCGACTACGCCAACTCACTGTATCGTATCAATTACCAAGACATGATGTAGAACAAGGTCAAGCTAGAGAAAGAACAATATATTTAATATGAATAGAAGATATAAGATAACATTCAGCAGGGACCACGCCTGCATGGCCGAGCCATGCCGTTCGATCAACTCTAATTCATTGTTCGCGCCTTCTCCATTGTTAGGTATTTATCCGCGTTAAATATTGAATATCTATTTTCTGAGTAGTCTCGTGTTCAGCTTTGTGGATTGTGCGGTTATTGTCCAATGCCACTACATATGTTCGTCGTCCACAGGGATATGACTATAAATCTTTACGAAGTAAAGTTCTGAAAATACTGCCATAAAATTCACGTTGGCTGTCTGTTCCCAGATGTGACTTAAGTGTGACTGTTAGAAATGGTCCCATGTTTATTCATTTTCTATGAACAGCGGAAAGCAAATCATAGCTATGATGTTTAGTGGCCATGTGCGATGGAGAATTAAAATAACCATTATAGAGAATGATTAGTCTTGGAACCACCAGGCTGAATTTGTTTCTACCTATCCTTAGGTTATCACGACCCTTTGATCCAGATTCAGTATCTTCAGCTTTATCAGTTAATAGAGTTGGAGAGGAAGTCCAAACAGTGCATAAACACAACCATGAGCAAATGTCTTCATACGACTCCCATGAATGACTGCCTTATATCTGTATTCTAACTTAATAACATCTTGTAGTTCACTAAAACAACAGGCTAAGAAGTAAACTTAAACATTCATGTAGTTACAGGTAAATAAAAGAAAAGGGCTTATAAATACATTTGTGGTGGTAAATGAGAAAGTAAAAATTAACCACAGTTGTAACATGTTTTTGCTGGGAACCGATTACATTTAATGTCATATGTTTCTCGGTGTCAACAACTCGAGCGAACGCATAAATATAATACAAAGGGTATGAATACGAGAAAAGCTAGTAATCGTACAATGTGAAGGGTAGTCCAAAACATACAAAACATTGTTGTATGGTCAATGCCTCGACCAACAATGTAGAAGTATCAAGCAATATAAGCAGCGACATGTTTTTGCACTTGGATAGTGACAGCATATATATGTTGATGTTGTTACGGGAAATATATATATATATATATATATATATCGTACAACTACGACCGTAATTATGCATACAATATCAGAGACATGAACGAAAATATTTTTAAGATCATAAAATTCATAAAACTTCCTTGTCACCGGAGTCTTCTACAGTTGAATGTTTTAACTAATCACACCGAAAGCCATTCGTTGTCGTAAATTTATAAACACTAAGAAAATTTGTTGTTTAAATTCATGTAAATAATTTGGCTATTGAAACACCTTGTCCTAGAGAAACCTAATACTGGAGGCGCAATCTCTAAAGCAATGGTTAGTTGACTAGTTTATGCTTTACGTTTTACTACAAACAAACTTGCTTAGTCGGCTATCCATTCAATTGACTAGCCAAAATGTTCTGTTCAATGTACTGAGATAATTTTGCTTTGTTAGAATTTTCTGAAGCGTGTTGAGATGTAATGAAATACAGATATCTTAAGTGTGAATAATTTCGACCCCGGGTTATTCTCTTATGAATTGAATGATTACAGAAGTACTATCTGCATAATCCTTGCGTAAACAAACGGCGTATACATAGGACACGAAATTATGAAAGTTCTTACATCACTTTATACCCTTGTTACTTGAATGTATAATTACTGCTTCGTGTTTCAGGTCCTGACATAACCACACGCCTTTAACCTTAATAACGTGTCGTAAACACTAACGCGAAGTTTTCTGGTGCACTATACCATGGTTACGGTTGGAACAGACGTTGCACTCATGTACACCTCCATCTCATCAGTAGTTAATCGTTACAGTCCATTGGAACCCAAAATTTCAGAGAGAAGAGGTCGTTGAGAATTATTTTGTTAGGTGTTGTTAATGGCTAAAATAAGCTGTGAACTGCGCGGAGCTTCTGAGAAGGGGCTCTCTATACAGTTTCCTTCAAGCTTCTAATACTAAACTTCACTAGTTAAGCTACATACATGAATTCAGTCTAGCTGCATGAAGTACTACAGTTGGTAATGGTGTTGAGGGCGAAATTGTATATGTACTTCGAACTGAAGTGGGTGTGGAATTTCAACCGCACAGAATGTTTTAGCTCAGAAGTTTTATGAACTGACTCCTCTGAACATCAACATATTTACGAGCACTAACTATTCTTTATATGAAATTTACATCACAGTTGTAGTGCTCTAGGCATCTAGGCTAAAATAGGCGGATTTCTTCACAAAATAGTCGTAACCTTTGATCTATAGATTTGTACATAGGATAGTAAGGCATCGTAGAGCAGTGTATTTTAATAAAGGTTGGTGAAAAATTAGGTTCGTACACTATTTATCTCTTAACAATTCTTAACTTCACACGTACCACTAGGCAGGAATCTGGATTCAATCTTCATATATTTATTTGTGTACTGGTTAACCAGCTTTAGGTAATTGTCCACCAAGTGCACTTAAGATATCTCCCATGCTTACAGTGACACATGTTCGTACGTAGTGGAATTGACTGATAACCTAGAATAAGCTAGTTTCCAAATCCGGCGTATAGTTAATATCTCCTGTTCCCCACACCACAAAAGTACACTTTTCCAAGTGCTTATAATGAAGATTGGATTAGACAAGATCTAGATAACTTACACGTGTCACTGCAGAGTTCAAGTTGTAACCGCTTGAGGATAGTCACGCAGTGATTTCGAGTAGATTTCGATCCCACAGCAAATTTCTTTTCCTGCCTTACAACTGGTGATGAGAATCTGTGGAGCAAGGTGAATTAAGTTGTTCGTAGGGGCAACGTTTTCTAACTCTGTTGTTAAAAAAACTACATCATCATTGCTTTCCAAGATGAAAGTTTACTCCCACCGTGCCCCTGCAGTCAGCTACAACATAGAACCAGGCACATATATGTATCGGTAGAAGTTGCCACACCTCATTAGCACAACAAGATGAACACCAAATTCATAAAAGCAGATACTTCACTGGTAGTAGTGTATAAAAAAGATTGTGTATAAGGATATAGCACAGGAAGAAAGAATTAATCGGTAGAAAGTAAGATATAAAGCAATTTTAATCTCACTGTTTGAGGGAAGACTTTCTCCATTTTTGTTTGACTTAATCATAGATCTACTGATGGAAATAATGCTTTAATCGACTTAGAATACGCGGATGACATAATCCTGTTTAGTGAAGACGATGATAAAATTCAGTCGTTTGGTAGCACTGAGCGTCGACAAGTTCACTTATCTTGGAAGTCTGATTAGTCCTAATGAGTTGGTGCCTGACGAAATCTCTGTACGGATCCAGAATGCTCGTTTGGCTTTTGCCAAATTGCGTCACCTGTGGTCCTATGTTGTAGCTGACTTAGTAGCCACCACTATTTCTCGACTGAGTCTTCACTATATCTGAGACAGACCACTATGTCACTATCACCTGCTCACAGGACATTTGTTCAAACAGTTTCTTTTATTTAGTTATTCACAGTATCGCTCGATTTACAGAGTGCAGCGTGGTTTTGGATTTTCACTAATTAGTCATTAACATCTATGTTGTGATGTTATCTGCATTCTGAGAACGATTGCTCAATGGTTGAAATACTCAAATTCCCACCACTAAGCCAGTCTTGATTTTAGCCTCATATTTCAGTTTGAATAATCGGATAATCTCATTAACCAACGAAAATAAATAAATAAAACCATAAGTGGGCTACATAATTGACTGGTTAATGTGATTTTTTGTCCTAGGGGATTCAGATTTTATTTTTGATCGGTTAAACTATCGAATCAGCCCCTATATTTTTGATGCCCACATCTATGTTTTATTCAAATCTTGATTATGTAATCAGTGAATCATTGTGCCGAGTTATGCGTTATTTCCCAAGTATACGTTCATTCAGTAATCGTTTAAAGGAAAACCGTGAACTAACGTGTAAGTTCGGTTATAAATTCTAGTTTATTGCTGCCAATCATCAGTTTAAGTATAATGATTTCGAATAAATAGTTAAATAATTTCATTCCACCCCATCTATTTAGGTGAATATTGCAAGTCAGTATTAGAAGTGCTGTTCATAGCTTGGTACATATAATTGCTGAACTGTATTTCACTACTTTTTTAAGGAATTATTACATCGCATATAGTCTGTCCACATCGTTTATACCTTAATTTTCTGTTAATACCTCAGAAGCGGGTTCCATAATATATGTTTACACATCATATGTTATTTGCATTAGTACAAGGTATTCCTCCCTCTCAAGACTTCAAAAGAGTGCATAGCCTATGTTCAGTGTTCAGTCAAGATCAAAATAGTGGTTGGGTCTACTTCGTATTTACAAATACAGCGTTGCTTAAGTACTTGTTTTAATGTTTGATTTTAGAATACGGAGTACGATAGTTGAGGACGTTGAACATTCTGTCAGTCAGTCAGTAACAACGTAGAACTTCGTACGTACGTACATCAGTTCGAGTTGCCATACCACATTAGCACAAAGATGCAGTTGTCGATTCAAATCCCATTGTGGTAGAGGTAGTAAGAGTATAAGCAGTAGTTGGAAAGATTAGGGTTTGAAGATGTTACTTAAAGGGTATAATCCAGTGAAATAAATTTGGAAAGAGAAAAAAAGAGACAAGGAACATTCTACTTATTTTGTCACTTTTGATCAATTGAGAATTGTTGAACTTCAAAACATACATGACTAAACGTTCGTTTGGGATTGTGTATACTTTTAGCCATGAGAGTTCTGACCTTTTGGAAGAAAGTTAGGGGCGGCCAAACCAAAACGTGGCATTAGTGCTTGGAGACACTAACCTCTAGTCTGAGCCATGTTGGTAGATGCAGACTACTTGGTTGGGGTCCGCGTGACTATCGTAACCAATTGTTGGAGACTCTTGGTGACATGGCTCAGAATCGATCACAATGGCGTCGGTGTATACACTTTCTTTCTTCCCTTAAACTATGAGATTAAAATCACTTCATATCTTTCCTACTAACTAATTCTTTCTTCCTATACTATATCCTTATGTGCAATCTTTCTCCTATATATTACCACCTTTGACCTAACCACTCCTATGAATCCGGTGTTCATCTTGTTGTGCTGACGCGGTATGGCAACCTGGACCGATGCATATATGTGCCTGGTCCTATGTCGTAGCTGACTGACTGACCTATAATTTATTATTGTACGATTTACTGTTCTTAAGCTATGTTCAGTTTATTGACTGCTGCCTCCCACGTTCACAGTCACTTTTTGGCTTTATTGTGTACAAATGTTATTTCCTATTTTATGGTGCGTTGCGATTTGTTTGGTTGATATATAAACCCAGTATGTCTGAAATAAATGATTCGATTCGCATATTGGAAGCTGGTATTAGTGTTCCGGACTCAAGTGGACGGGCTAGGCGGACATAGGACCAAATAAGACACTGGGCTGCCCATACCGGTCGAACGTCATTGGTTTGGCACAGTGCTAAGATAGTATAAGTCGTATTTTGATTGGTGGATAAATCACGTGATAAAAAGCCGGACATAAAGTCATAACACTAATGATTTGAGTTCACAAAATGTTATTCCCAGTCCCCGGAGACCACGCTCTATACTATGTATTGGAGCTTTCAATGTTCGAACCTTTTGTCAGATAGGACAACAGGCTTCTTTATCTGAGACTCTAAAATCTCACTCTATTGATGTATATTACGTCCCCTAAACGCGCATACGAAATCCATGTACAGTTATTGATTTAACCTCACCTAGTCGGTAGAAAGAACCGGGGTCATTTGCTGTCCGTGTATCCCGTTAGATAGCCTTTTGTGTACTGTCAGCCAGCTTACTTACCCGAGAATTCAGTCGACGAGAATGTTATTTCCATAAGTAGGTCTATGATGAAGTAAAACAGAAATGGAGAAAGTGGACAGCCTTGACAGACACCACTTAAGGTTGCAAAAGTAGATGACAGTTCGCCATAAGCTCTGATTCGACTAGCAGTGTTCGATTAAAGAGCCTCCACAAGGTTTATGTACTTCTGAGGTACGCCTTTCAATGACAGACACTGCCACAGAATTTCGCGGTCTACCGAGTCAAATGCTGCTTTTAAGTCCTAAGATCATCAAAGCATCGTTCAAGACGAAGGAGGGAATTACAATGAATGTTCTTCAGTGTTATGCACCCACCAATGATAGCGATGACGATGATAAAGATCAGTTTTACGAGAGGCTCCAATCCTGACCGTTGCTGCTGCCTTGGTGTGGTGGTCAAGCTTGCCTGTCGTACTGAACTAATCGAGCTATACTGGCTGGAACAATCGATCCTCAAAGTCCTACGTGCCTGACAGGTCGGTTGATGAGCGGTAAGACTAAAAGCAACAAATCCAAGGTTCGAAGGCGAAATCGTACTGCTGACTCTATATAGGTGTGACGGCAGTAAGGTATTTCCTTTAGACAACCATCATGACAATGATGCTGCCTTCCCACAAGGAGGGCTGGAGTTTGAAAAGTCGACTCCAAAAATGCACACCTCGCCTTATCCCACGGATAACCGTCTCCGGTGGTAAGGTCTCAACAAACACGGAGCTAACACGAAAATTACCCATAAAAAGGGCGTGTGTGACCGACCTCAAGCAATTGTCCCTTGGGTACTGGGGTCATGCTCTCAGGTCACTAAGAACACCTTTAATCCAATTTCCTTTTCAGGTACCTCCAGAAGAACCCTTCCACAGTGTGGGCAACCGGGAGGTGATAACCGCCCTCATACCTCCAACAGCACTTAAAGACCACTGTATTCATAATCAATCTCCCTCTTCAATTCCTATCATTCCTCTCACCTCGACTTCCAACCTCAAACTTCCTCTTTTGGCTTCCTCCTCAAGTGTCACCCTGGCCAACGATTCTAGTGAGCGAAACACTGTCACAGGTTTACTGAAACCTCTCTCCAAGCTACACATTGGAGACTTCAACGTAAGCACCCTATGTCAAATCGGCCAGCAGACCTCCTTGACTAAGACCTTAGAATTTCGTACCATTGATGTATGCTGTGTCTCCGAAACACTCATACAGGATCCTAGTGTAGTCATTCACTTGACCTCACCTCGCCAAAACGGATATCCGACGAGATACACCCTCAGTGTATCTGGCGACCCGATGGTTGGTTCTCTTCGACTGGCAGGTGTAGGCATAGCACTAAGTACGAGGGCAGAAAAAGCACTATTAGAGTGGATTCCCGTTAACAGTCGCCTATGTGCTGTTCGGCCAAACGGCTGAGTAGGAATTCGGGAGGATAGGGACGCACGTCATTGTCTTTTCGTCATTCCTACCATTTAGGTGGGTATTTTAGTATCACGGCTCAGCAAACAGATAACGGTGATCGTCTGCGGCAACTGTGCTCAGACAATCGTTTATTTTTGGCAAGCACAAATTTTAAGCATAAGGAGAGACATCGCCTAACCTGGCGACCTCCTGCACCAAACCAACGGTGGACTCAAATAGATCATATTGCCACCAGTCATCTTTGGAGAGGGTCGATAGGAGATTGTCGCTCGTTTTGGGATACCTGCTTGGACTCCGACCATGCTCTAATACAGGCACGCATCTGCTTGCGCCGCACTGGACGCAGGAAAGCCACATTAAGAAAACCCATTAGGATTGAATTGAGTGACGAGAAGGTCGAACCAGTGAGGTCTCATTTAGGTAGTTCTGAGAACGAGGCTGACCCAGATGTTGCTTGGAAAGGCATACAATCAGCTGTGGAAACAGCAGTGAAATATGTTAGTGACTCAAACCAAAGGGTTACAAAGAACCAATAGATTTCTTCTAGGTCTACTGCACTGATAGATTCTCGTAAACTCATCAAATTTGGATCCGAACACGATGAAAAACGAAAACAAGTCAGATATAGGTTAAACAACAATGCCAGGCTGTTTGGGATGCGTTTCATCACCTCTAAATGAAAGTTGTTGCTCCAGGACTGGTCTGTGTCAACACCTGGACTAAGGATAGGGAGTGAAGTAGTCGAACGCGTCGACAACTTCACTTATCTTGGAAGTCTGATCAGCCCTAATGGGTTGGTATCGGACGAAATCTTAGCACGGATTCGAAAAGCTCGCTTGGCTTTTGCCACCTTACGTCACCTATGGCAAAGGCGAGATATCCGTCTATCAATAAAAGGACGAGTATACTGCGCGGCAGTCTGTTCTGTCTTACTTTACGGCAGCGAAACATGGCCTTTGAGAGTAGAAGACACTCGTAAGCTACTAGTATTTGACCACAGATGCCTTAGAAATATTGCTCGCATCTGCTGGGATCATCGGGTAAGTAATAGTGAAGTTAGACACAGGGTATTAGGGAATGATGGTAGATCCGTTGATGAGGTTGTAAATCTTCATCGACTGAGACGGTTGGGCCATGTGTTACATATGCCTGAACACCGATTACCACGACGCGCAATGCTGGTTGGAAGAAAGTAAGGGGTGGCCAAACCAAAAAGTGGCATCAGTGCTTGAAGTCACTAACTGCTAGTCTGAGCCATGTTGGTAGATGCAGACTACTTGGTTGGTGTACGCGTGACTGTCGTAACCAATTGTTGGAGACTCTTGGTGACATGGCTCAGAATCGATCACAATGGCGTCGGTGTATACACTTTCTTTCTTCCTTTAAACTATGAGATTAAAATTATTTCATATCTTTCTTTCTATGCTATATCCTTACATAAAATCTTCCCTTTATTTATTACACCATTTAGTTAACTTTTTCTATGAATCCGGTGTTCGTCTTGCTGTGCTAATGAGGTGTAGCAACTTGTACCGATGCATGTATTTTCCTGGTTCTACGTTGTAACTGACTGACTGACTGACTGATTCCTTGAAAGCCCCGACTTTAAGGACAAGTAAAATCAATGAGTCACAACGTGGGACTTGTACCTATGTACATCAATTCAGGTTGCCATACCCGATTAGCACAGAGATCTCAGGTCAGGTAAAGTCCCAGATTAGTATAGATAGTTACAGTATCAGTCGTAATAGGAGAGATTAGGCATCGAAGATACGACTCGAGAAGAAAATATAAATTAGTGAGACAAAAACAAAAAAGAGTGATGGGGAATTTAGTGTCTCAGAGTTTGGTGGAAGACAAGGAATGGATCTACCTACACCACTGGAGACAATTTTGAGCATTGTTATTCAAAATTTGTAACCATTGGTTACGATAATCACGCAGACCCAAACCTGGTTGTCGGCATTTACTAAAATGGCTTAGTCCAATCTTCTGTGAATTCATAAACTGACTCCATGTATCGGTTTGACCGCCCCTAACTTTCTTCCAACCTACTCCTGCACCAGAAAACATCGTCCACCGAGGTAGGCGATGGTTGATTATACATAACACATCCCGATCACCTTAGTTGATGAAGATTTAATACTCATCTATCGATTTCCCGTCTTTACTTAGTACTTGGTTTTTAACCAGGCATTACTTACTCTATGGTCCCAAAATGTGCGAACATTGCTTCATAGACACCTGTGATTAAATACCAGTAATCTGTGAATATCCTCTACTATCAATGGCCATGTTTCACATCCATAAAGCAGAACGGAGCGAACTGTTGTGCAGTAAACTCACCTTTTGGCTGGATGACAGATATCTCGCCTACACTACAAGTGACGCAAGTTAGAAAAAGCCAATCGAGCCTTCTGAACCCGTACCGAGATTTCGTCAGAAATCAGAACATCAGCACTGATGAGACTCCCAAGATAAGTGAATTGATCGATATGTTCAACTAATTTATTCCTTATCAGTAATTTAGGGGTGACAATCCAATCCTGAAGTAATATCTTACATTTGGAGGGATAGAACTGCACCTCAGACATACTTGCATTATTGCTTAAGGTGGCTAGAAGACTTCATTTTATCAGTCTTCACTAAAGAGAACTACATCATCTGTGTATTTTTCAGATGTTTCAGCCCCCACAATAGATTGCCGAGATGAAACTGAAGCTAAAGAAACACCGGGCAACTTGGGAAACAGCATTATAAAGTTTCAATACAGCCTTCCTTTGAGATACTGACAAACCCAACGAATTCAAGATAACTCCCAGCATCAGACTCCAAGCCTTATAGGATCTACTGAACGAAGAAACTGTTATGGAGGACAACTGTTAAGGGACTAGGGAAGTTTTAACTTCAACATGTCAGAAGGTTCTGCGTCGCAAGAAGCATCATCATAAGGAATGGATCTCTATGGAAACCCTGGACAGGATTCAAGGAAGGAATAACAAGAAGACAGCAATTAACAACAACAAAACAAGAACAGAGAAATTCAAAACACACAGCGAATGTCACTTGTTGACTTGGAATATGCCGATGACATAGTTCTATTTGGCGAAGACGCTGACAAAATGCCGAGTCTTCTGACCACTCTAAGCAACAATGCAAACATGTTCGGCATGCGATTCTCCCTCTCGAAATGCAAAGTGTTGCTACAGGATTGGGTTGCATCGACACCCGAACTATTGATAGGGAGTGGAGTAGTTGAGCGTGTCGACTGTTTCACTTGGGAATATGATCAGCCCTTGTGGTCTGGTGTGTGACTAAATCTCAGCACGTATACAGAGGGCTCGACTAGCTTTTACCAACTTGCGTCATTTATGGCGTAGGCGAGATATCCGTCTATCAACCAAAGGACGTGTTTACTGCGCAGCAGTTCGTTCCGTCCTATTTTATGGCAGTGAAACATGGTCGGTAAGAGTAGAGGATATTCGTAGGTTACTAGTATTTGATCATAGGTGTCTTCGAAACATTGCTCGTATATCCTGGGACCATCGAGTAAGTAATGCAGTTGTTAGGAAACGGGTACTAGGTAAGGATGGCAAATCAATTGATGACGTAGTGAAACTTCATCAGTTGAGATGGCTGAGACACGTGTTACGTATGCCCAACTACCGACTGCTCCGACGTGTGATATTGAATGGTGTAGGAGTAGGTTGGAAGAAAGCTGGGGGAGGCCAGACCAAAACATGGCACAAGTTCATGAAGTCACTGACAAGTGGTCTGAGTCATGTCAGTAGGTGTAGACTACCTGGTTGGGGACCGCGAGATGATAGCAACCGATGGTAAGAGACCCTGAATGACATGGCTCAAAATGGTTTGCAATGGCGCAGGTGCATCCACTCTTTGTGTTCTCCCAAATTCTAATCTCCTGATTCCTCCTTGTCTCTTTCTTTTCTCTTCCCAAATTTATTTCACTGGATTATACTCCTTAAATAACATCTCCAAACCCTAATCTTTCCGACTACTACTTATACTCTTACTACCTCTACCACAATGGGATTTGAATCGACCACTGCATCTCTGTGCTAATGTGGTATGGCAACTCGAACTGATGTATGTACGTACGAAGTTCTACGTTGTTACTGACTGACTGAACGATCGAATAAATCAGGATGGCCATCAGACAAGTCAAGAGTCGGAAGACAACAGGATCTGACAACGTACTAGCCGAAGCACTGAAGTGAGATTTAGTAGCAACTGCAAACATGCTCTACGTTCTATTCAACAAGATGTGGGAGGACGAACAAGTGTTGACAGACTGGAGAGAAGGATACCTCATCAAGATACCAAAAGAAGGAGATCTGAGCAAATGTGAGTACTACAAAGTCGTGACTCTACTATCAGTACCAGCAAAAGTTTTCAAAAGAGTGTTGCTAAACCGGATGGGAGATTCAGTAGACGTCCAACTTTGAGATCAACAGACCGGATTCCATAAGGATCGATCGTGCACTGACAAAGTGCGATACTATGGATCACCGTTGAACAGTCAGCTGAGTGGAACTCGTCACTATACATCAACTTCATTGACTCTAAGGAAGTGTTTGACAGTATGGATAGGATGACCTTGTGGAACTCTCTTCGACATTATGGTGTACCTGTGAAGATCGTAAATATCATACGGAATTCATAAAACGGACAACTCTGCGAAGTCGTTCATGGAGGGTATCTCGTAGATCCATCCCAAGTGAGGACTAGAATCAGACAAGGCTGCTTATTCTCAGCCTTTCTTTTTTTCTGGTGGTCGACTGGAATATGAAGACCTCGACATCAGAGGGGAAGCATAGAATACACTGTACAGCTTACATGCAACTAGACGATTTGGAATTCGCAGATGACCTAGCTCTTCTATCCCAAATGAAGTTGCAGACTGGTGATATACTATATCATCTGCTCATTTTTCAGATGTTTTAGCCCCCGCAGTCGATTCAATAACTAACCCAAATATACCACGTTGCCATCAGCCATCGTTTGAGAAGCTCAGTAGAAGAATTTCACTCATTCTGGAGCGCTTGTCTAGACTGAAATCATACTCTAGTACGAGCACGTGTTTGTCTATGTCTTACTGGACGTAGAAAACCATTTAACGTCCACGTAATGATGGAAAAATCAAGAACATTTTTTCAGGAACAACTAGACGAGCTAATCAACCATGAAAGTGATACCCACCTCGAGATACCTTAGAATAATATCCAAATAGATTTGGGAACACCAGTGTTACTTACAGTAATCTAAATCATAAGGTTACGGAAAGCTAGTGGATTTGCGAATTTTCGAGTCGGTGTGAGCTCGTGTATCTACTGTTGAACGCTACTCAGTTCGATTTGAAGTAAATTATTTTGGTGAAAGTGGGTTTATTCCTTATTCCCTTTCAAATTTCATGCAATACTACTTCATACAGTTCACTATTTGATTTCACTCTTTTTCAAACCCTTATTATTATCTTGAATTCTTGATGCCATCAGCATCATTTCTAATTCCTTGGTTTTTCTCTCTGTGTATCTCCCCTTGTCGATACGATATGGTGTGTTGCAGCTTAAATTGATGCATATTTTATATTATACCTAGAGTTGTAGTCAGTATACATTGACTAAATATGTACGTATCCATTCAAATTGATTTATAGACGAGATTGGTTGTATTGCAGGGTTCTGTTTCTTTCTACTGGCCAACCAGATGTTTGTCTTTTACATATTTCGTTAGAAGCAGCTCCTAACCGTAACAATTCATTTATCTTCTTATTTATAAAGGGTGAGAGAAAAGGAACAAACAAATACTATCCTCCCGATTTCGATCCTAATCATCACAGGAATCTCAACTCATACCATGGCACACATGCTCTACGTCAACGTGGGAGAAAGGCAGGTCAAGGCATTATCACTATTAGATTTGAAATGCCTTTCAACTGCTGGTGTCTCACTTGTAAAAATCCTATCGGTATGGGTGTCAGATATAATGCAGAAAAGAAAAAAGTAGGGATGTATCACTCAACTCCTATCTACCAATTCTCTATGCCTTGCCATCTCTGTGCTGGTACAATTGTAATGCAGACGGATCCAAAAAACTTCCAATATGTTATTCTGGAAGGTGCTAGGCGTAAAGTACAAAAGTGGGACTCAGAAGAAAATGAACAAGTCCTTATTGCAGGTAGGTCATGGGTTGTACATTACTTTATTTTTATTGTCATTTAGCTGTAGGCTGTGATTCCAGTTAAAGTAAAAAAATGGCATTTGAATCAGCTCTAAGATTTTTTGAATTAATTCCTAATCCTATAACTTGATAGTTCGGAATTTTTGTCGATCATTGCCTTCTGTTACGTCCTTGATCTGTTTACCCACTTTTAGTACTGAGGATAACTTGTCTAATCTAGATTCAGACCTTGACGCGATAGGCTGACTGGCTTAACCTTGAGGCTGGTACGCGTGAGTTCGAAGTGGTGTAGAGTGAACAAAACCGGAGATTAGCGTAAAAATAGAGTACAAAATAATACGTTTAAATTGCAATAGCTTTGGAACAAAAAGGGCTATGGCAGTGACTCATACATCAAACGAAAGCTTATGATTTTTAGAATAGACTAGGAACAAAAATAAATGTTAATGTTTTACAAGCTTTCAATTAAATGTAATAACGTCCTCCGAAATAGCTTCCGCAGTTTGTCAAGGCTTCTTGTTTCTCTGTTCATATCACCTTCCATTGTGGCTCACTTCATTTTCCCGTGATACTAAAATTAAGACCTTTTGTCGGTATTTCGGATATTGGCAAGTAAATCACTCATTTTCATTTATTATCGTTTGCGTTTAGCGTAATCTTACATGTCTGTCTTTAAACTATGTACGACAAATGTTGAGTTTTGTAGTAGGGTTTGTCCATTACATGTATAATAATCACTAGTTTTTAATCCGGAACGATGCGCTCTCGGCCTAGCTGTTGCACCGTATGGAAGTGGGTTTATGCTGTGGTTCCATTACATTCAAAAAGCACTCATGCATCTCTCCAACCTATTGTTTATAGCATGGAACTAGATTGCAACAGTCAGCCTGCAGCCCTTCTAGGGTTACTTCCGGTTCCAAGACCGGATAAAGGAGAAGGTTGGGCTCAAAGTCGGCAACCTCATCACGTGGAGAGGAACCTTGACAAAAAAACGCTCACCAGAAAAAACTATTTAAACTCTCGCCTGGGAGTTGAAGGATCTTCATTTCGATGTATTATGACGCCTCATGGAGAAAACCGAGTTTCTTCGTAAATCATGAGGACGCTTCGCCTTCTAATAACCAGAGCAACAATTAATATAGGTGCCTGGAATGTTTGGTCAATGTGGGAGACTGGGAGGACCAGTTGAATAGCTGAGGAAATAAGGATATACAAATTGGCGGTACTCGAAATAAGTGAAACACATTGAACTCGAGCTGGACAGAAAAGATTAGCTTCGGTGAAGATACTGTCTAAAGAAGCATGAAAAGGATTAGAAGCTCATAGCTTCAGAATCATCAAATCATTCTTCAAAACAAAGATGGAGAGTACTGCAGTGAATGTCATCCAGCGCTTTGCACTCACCAACGATGACGGCGAAAATAATAGGGATTAGTTTTATAGAGTTGCAGTTCATTCTAGAGAGGTAACTAGGAAAGGAGTGACCATCCGGAAGGGAGACTTAAACGCCAAGGTCGGGGTGAACAGTGCCGTGTATGAAGATATCATGGGGTGACATAGACTGACGGAAAGGAACGAGGATTGTGACAGATTTGCACATTTATGTGCAAATCAGAACATCAGCACTGATGAGACTCCCAAGATAAGTGAATTGATCGATGTGTTCAACTAATTTATTCCTTATCAGTAATTTAGGGGTGACAATCCAATCCTGAAGTAATATCTTACATTTGGAGGGATAGAACTGCACCTCAGACATACTTGCATTATTGCTTAAGGTGGCTAGAAGACTTCATTTTATCAGTCTTCACTAAAGAGAACTACATCATCTGTGTATTTTTCAGATGTTTCAGCCCCCACAATAGATTGCCGAGATGAAACTGAAGCTAAAGAAACACCGGGCAACTTGGGAAACAGCATTATAAAGTTTCAATACAGCCTTCCTTTGAGATACTGACAAACCCAACGAATTCAAGATAACTCCCAGCATCAGACTCCAAGCCTTATAGGATCTACTGAACGAAGAAACTGTTATGGAGGACAACTGTTAAGGGACTAGGGAAGTTTTAACTTCAACATGTCAGAAGGTTCTGCGTCGCAAGAAGCATCATCATAAGGAATGGATCTCTATGGAAACCCTGGACAGGATTCAAGGAAGGAAGAACAAGAAGACAGCAATTAACAACAACAGAACAAGAACAAAGAAAGTTAAAGCACAGTCTGGATACACAGAAACAAAGAAGAGAGCGTACAGGAGCATTAGAGCTGACGATTAGAAATACTCGGAAGACCTAGCAAAGCACGGGTAGCATTCCTACAATCGTGCTTCGGTTTAGACACCCGGGCAGTATTTCAGCCTTCACACAACTCAATGATAACTACTACTGGCCTAATTGTTATTGTGTGGCGCATTTATATTTGGTGTCCTATCGTACCAATGTTTGTGTATTCAAGTAATTCAGTAAATAATAAATTCCTGCAATTATAGATCATATAGAACTCAAAACAACTGTCAATCAATATCAAAGTCAGAGTATTCATTACGAGCGTCAAGACAGATCTACTGTACAGAGCTGAGGTCTAGAGAACTACTATAACCATCACCAAAAAGCGCAGTTATTTGTGAACAAGCTACTCAATGTCCGTCGGCCGGATACCATCAGCAACAACCTACTATGGGAGAGAACAAACCAACTTCCAGCTGAGGAGGAAATTGGGAAAAGATGCTGAAGATGGATAGGACATACATTACGGAGATCATCAAACTGCGTCACGAGGCTAGCCCTAACTTAAAATCCTGGAGGTAGAACGGAAAGAAGAGGACCAAAAAACACATTTCGTTGGGAATTGGAGGCAGGCATCAGAAGGATGAATAGCGATCGGGAAGAACTGCAAAGGACTGCCCAGGACAGAGTTAGTTGGAGAATCCTGGTTGGCGATGTATGCTCTCACGAAGGGTTATAAGCTTAAGTAACGAAGTGCAGTAGGTAAACCGATCATCATTTTGTGAAGTCATTATCTGTATGTCCGAAGTGTGTATGGAAATGTCGATTTTCCGATAATAATTCTCAACATCATAGGATTTGGTATTTGGAGAATTACTGTCAGCTTAAAAATCTGTCACAGTATAAATTAGATACTCACTATTATTAGCTTGTCTGTAAGCAAATTATTTATTTGCATCCCTGTTTACTCATATCTTTCTCGTTAATTTTGCATTCGTGTTCATCTTCTTCCCACCTCATTTGGGTATTGTGGCGTCCCGGCCTAACAGTTAGTTATCGGTAACTGTCTGCTGTAATTTCTCTCAGACAACAGATTATTCACAGTAAGTAGGTATTTTAAGTATAAAGAAAGACACTGTCTAACCTGCGGACTTCCAACATAACGATTAGCACAAACAAATCATATCGCCGTCAGTCATATACGGTAGAAAACTGCCGCTTCTACTGGAGTGTATATTTGGACTCCGATCATGTCCTAGTGAGAGCACTGATTTCTATCCATCTTACTCGATAGGGAAAGTCGAAGCAGGTAAACCCTTCTAATATCAATTTGAAGATGCTTATGTCAGTGTTGCAGAGAACAATTAGTCAACCACTTATTCATCCTGAAAAATCTTGGAAAGATATGCAAGTACCAGCGACACCATTAACGGTATATATGTCAAAAGTTAGGAAAGATAAGTGGATTTCAGTAACATTTACCAAATTGATTTAGGTGTAAAAGCTCATCCCAACAAGCTCGGAAAACGATGAAGATCGACGACAGCACAAACGAAAACAAATAAAAAGTATGCCAAGCGACAGGACCTGATGGCTTAGCCCTAGTTTTAACGTTTATGTTGAATGAGATCTAAGCTAGAATTTTGGGCGCAGACGTAATTCCGTTTGACTCGTTCCAATCACTAATCATTTTAGTTTATAGTAATCACAGAGGGATCAGTTTGACTAAAATAGTGTCTCAAGTATTAGCCTCAATAATCTTTTAACGGTTATATGGGGCTCGTGAACAGCGAACTTGGGAAGGCCCGGTCGGTTTTAGACTTGGACGTGGATGTGTAGTCCGAATATTTACACTTCATCAGTTTTCAGAACACAAGCATACTAACAGACCCTCGACTTTAGTGATATTCCTTAACCTTAAGGCATCATTTGACTGTTAACCTAGAGGACATAGCGAACTGTCACTGGGATTTCCAACCTTAGGTGGTATTTTCCAGAGTTGCCCACTGTCTCCATTCTTTCAGGTTGGTTGGCGGCGTATGCTGCCACGAGGGCTAATAGGTGTATGTAAGTAAGCGATTTCTTCCCGTGCATAATTTTTGCACATTTCAGCTTCGTTGATTTCCCTACAGTAGTGGATATTGATTTGGATTGCATTGGTGGTCCCTGTTCGTCCCTTATATTTCTTATAGATTCGTGTGTGGTGTCACTAACCACATCCCTTGATCTCTCATTCCTTTGGCAACCGACAATTTTTAGCTAGGTGGTTTATCTTTAATCAGATTTCACATTACTTACTTTTTAAAGAGAATTCTACTTTCGTATCAACATCTTGAGCTGTGAATTTTGGACACTGGTCTTGTAAATTGGCTTTTGAACATAACATAATTTCACAAAGAGGCTAGTTTTTCTAAGCGAACTAGCTTCATTCTTAAAAATACCCGCATATGTTATTCCAGCCTCTTATACTCTGTAGTAAACTGTCTTTTCACAGTCCAATGATCTGTGTTATCACGACTGGTTGAGCGTCTGTCAACATGAAACCTGTATATCGGATTGCTCCTTCACAAATGCCTAATATCAATAAATGTGGGTTCTCGGTCGTTTTTAACAATCCCACAGGTCTCTTTAGCCCAATAATGCTGCGTTTGCACTGGGAGTTTTAAGATTATATCTTCTGTAGTCCTGAAATGTAGTTCATCTGCTTTAGAGTTAACTCACATATCGTCATCTCTCAATATAGCTTCTTCAAGGTGTCTGGATAATTTCCTT